GTATAAGAGAATAAAAAAAATATAAGAAGAGGGCTTGCAGCAATGAATTTGTATAAGAGAACTGCGGAACTGCGTCGAAAGCAGAAAGCCGGAACCTCCTGAGGAATGAACGCGTTATTTTGAACTCAGTCATGACTGCAGTTTTCAGCTTCAAAAGAAAGATTTGCGCGGACTACTTCGAGAGACATAAGCGAAGGGTATACCGCAACCGACGTTTTCGTTATGTCACCGATCTCAACGTAGACGCCTTGAAGATGATCCTGCCTCCATCGAAAGCCGCGGCTCTTGCGTTGGATGACGTGCTCTGCCAGAACTGCTTCCAGTACACCGGTGAGAAGCTTTCATCATCTGTCAGTGATCCATGCTCGAGCTCTCCAGCAAGCTGCATCGAAGAGCACGAAGTAGTGGAAGGTCTTAACGAAGAGATTTCTGCTGCTGGGCTTGAAACAACTCCTTTGCGCATGCCTTCTACAGTAAACCCGAAAAGCCGTCAGGCATATGCTGAAAGAAAACAGCGGGAGATTGAAGGATCACACAGCCGACAGGTACGAAAAAAGTTGGCGACTGCATATACCTTGGAGCCAAGTGGGTCAAGTTCTCGCAGTGATCAACCATGCCTCGGCTGCGACGGGTGGTGGGCAAACATCAGAGAGGCCTTTGTGAAGGCGGCATCTTACCAGGAGAGATGTCAGCTCCTCACGCTTGTGCCCAAGGGCGTAGCCACTAGGGAGGTAGAACGGCTAATTCCTGAGGCATCGAAGTACCTTCTGAAGAAATCAAAGCAGCTTCGTGAACGGTTCGGCGTATGGGAGCGTCTGGAGCCTTATCACGGTGGAAGCATAAGCGAGGACACCATACGGGCAGCCACGCAATATTACACCGACGACGATCTCGACTGTTCTCGGCAGAGCCCAAACAAAAAAGATGCTGTTAAGCTTCTGAAGGATGGCGAAGAACATGTGGTCGTGAAGCGGTATATGACAAGGTCTGTCCGAGAGACGTACAGGCTGTTTAAGGAAGCAAACCCGGACTCAAAATTAGGTCTGACTAAATTTTACTCGCTGCGGCCAAAGTGGGTCAAGCTAAACCCTGAACAGACTGTCTGTGCATGTGTGTGCTGTACGAATTTCGATTTGTGCTTTTCCACCCTGAACAGCATGCGAGAAGAAAAAATAACAAAAGAGGAGATTCTCGCTTTGTGCCTCTGCCCTGAACCCTCGTCCGAATGTTTCAGAGGCGAATGCAAAGACTGCCCCTCGACTGACAGACTCTCCTTAAAATCATTGGAAATGGTGCCTGAAGAGGAAATTACATTTTTCACATGGGAGAATGGTAATTTGATAAGCAAGACTGCCGACTCCAGCGCCTTTTTGAAAGAGCTACAGAAATGGGCCACAAGGTTTTCCACGCACGATTTTATTCGTAGGACACAACGGGAAGCCATACGGATTGAGAAGTCTAGTGTGACCTCAAGACACATCGTCATGCACTTCGATTTTGCGGAAAACTGGACGGTAATTTTGCCACACGAGATACAGGAGTACCACTGGCACAAGCGTCAGCTCTCTGTGTTCACGTGTGTGGCATCCACGTCGCAAGGCTCAAAATGCTTCGGCGTTGTCTGTGAGGACTTATGTCATGACACTTCCCATGCGCTGCTGGCTCTGAGACTTATAGAAGACTGGCTGGAGGAGCACATCCCAGTTTATGCTTCACTAACGTACATATCCGACGGGGCACCTGCTCATTTTAAAAATAGATTTCAGCTGCATGAGTTCGAACGAGTGGGCCATACCCAATTGAAGTGGATATTTTCTGCCTCTGGGCATGGTAAAAACTCTTGTGACGGGGTTGGAGGGCTTCTCAAACACCACGCAACGGTGCACAACCTCCGTTCACCGGAGGAGCAGCTCGTCCGAACATCAGTAGATTTTGTGGACAAGGTTGGAAGGCGTGTCAAAAACGTAACTCTCATGAACTTAACCGAGAAGGAGGTGAGTGACTTCCGCAGAATCAAGAAAACAGAGTGGAGTTGCGTACCGACTCGGAAAGGCATCCGCGCTTCGCACGTGTGGCGACGCGAAAGGGGCGAAGTGCAGCTTGAGCGAACTGTTCTATCTTCGTCTTAATGCATGAACCTCTGTGGTGCACGTGCGGAACTCTCAGATGATCTACGGCTTTGTTTTGTTTTGTTAAAGCCTCTTCTTGTACATTTGCGCTTCTGTGAAAAATTATGTGTTTCTATAGGTGTGCCTTGTTAACCCAAATAAATTACTCAATAAATAGAGTGATTTTGTTAAACTGTTACCTATGAATGTTTTATTTCATACTGCCAACAAAAGAGTATGATTACTGTAAGCTGAAAAGCAACTTCCGATTTTCTGTGCGTAGCCCAAAAAATTTAAACGTATGCAACAAGTAGTCCAAAAGCCGAAGGATGGACAAAATGTAGTCAATTTTTTTTTCACGTACCTCGGAATACTAAGGGCCAATGAAGGATAGGCGAAAGAATGCCATGCGGTAAATTTAAAAAATTCGAGCCGATTTTCCGATAATGTTTGTATAAAATAAAGATTGTCCGAAACGCATAAACGGGGATATTGTTTTTCTGGACTGGATAGTGCCGTAGAATGCAACCCGACATGATCGAAACGGATGAAACGTCTTGGATCTCTCCACTCGCTTAGGCTAGTTAACATTGATGTTAACTAAATTTACTTTTGTTGTTGTTTATCACGAACAAATAATTTAAATATATAAGTTTCGTGCAACCTCAGTAGTAAAACGTTGTCGTGGCGACGTTCGAAAATGCAAGCTGTGACTTCGCAGACATCACTTCGTCAATTCAGCCATCTCTCATTTCTTTATGACGTTATTGAATTTTTTAAAAATATATTAGTAAAAATTCAACGGGGTAAAGTAGTTTTCAGTGAAATCTGATATTGCTGAGCCAATTATCAATGTTGCGGTGAAGCCCGCATACCGGAGCCGGAGGTTGGTATTACGCGATAAAAATGACTTATTCAACTGGTTGTCCTAAAACTACAACAAAAAAAGGTCAAGCAATATTTATACCCGGTTATTAAGCAGAATCTGGGCAATAAATTAAAAAAGTATGAACGAAATAAAAAATGGCTTTTTTGAGAAAATTGACTTCAAAATTTGCATATTTTTCATTTTTGTCTATATTTGTGGCAGAATAAAAACAACACGGTAAACACAATAACCAGAAAATACATGTCAATCGATAGCTTACATTGATAGCTACGCACAGATATCTGTCTCACGTCATCGCGCCCTACCGTTCGTTTTATATAGCTGTCCGAAGTTGCGTCACACTTGCTCTAGGTCGCATGTTTGAGATTTTTTAGAAAATTAATTTAAAATAACAGAAGACAGAAATTTACCTCTAAAAATAGCCAAGTCTGCGTAAATATTGCGCAATAAATATAATAATTCTGCAAGAATTCGATATTTTGTAAATGGCGGCTAAAGTCGAGATAAAATCAAATTGGGAATTTGACGTTTTCTACCCTGCAGCGCCTCAGAATTTTTTTCTCTCAAACTATACAATTCTAATTTTTTTCAAAGGCAGTTTCTTTCATCACAAGGATTCGGGTATCATATATATTTTTTACGATTAAATCTAAAGACCCCCCCGACAAGTTTGGTCGAAATCAAATGAAATCACCCATATATATATTGAAACGAAATCTTGATAGTTCAATGGACCCTTTCCGAGAAGCGTTCTGCGCACACGCGAGCGCCCAATGCCAAGCGGCGGAAGTCGGCACGAAAAATCGAGGAAATTCGGAAAGAGGCTGTGGATCAGCGAGTAGAACACGTAATTGCAGCAGATATATAATTGTGTTACACAAAAAAAGAAAGTGGACGGAAAGAAAAACACAACGTTTAGGTGGACGCCACGGATGCCCCTCTTTAAAGTCGCCTTGGGCACGCGCCACACCTCGGAGACCGAAGAAACTGGTAGCGTAGCTCCCAATTTCGATTAGTAGCGCAGGTAGGTCACTTCCTCGATTTTTAGTTTTTGCAGCCACTGCTTGGTGCCGTCGGTATGTGGAAAAGGTCCATTCCACATAATCTAAAGTATGTGCATGCCCAATTTGCTCACGATGGGACAATATGAAGAATGAAACTTCTTGCGCACAAACTGTGAAGATACCCAAAAATTACATAAAGAGAAAAACGCGCTTGAATGTTATCATAATGTGTAACAAGTCTTTTGCTGCAAGAAAAATAATAGTTTAATATTTTTCGTAAGAAGTTTGAGTTACAGAATACTGCGATAGAGAGGAAAAGGCTAGGCCTACTTCCCAACGTGAATGTGATGGCAGGCGATGTCCGAATTTGAAAAAAAAAAAACATTGCCTGGCCAGAGTCACCCATACACCCCCACGGACAACGCTCGGTGCCAACAACTTGCTGCCTCCTCCCCTGGCAAGGTAGTCGCCAATTTTCCTTTGGCCAGTTTTTATTTGGCGTTACGCCAGCACTGGGCCCACTGGGAGACAGGGTTAATACTTTGGGCCAGAAAGATGCGGTAGGGATTCCCAATTTTCCTCTTTCGCTTCTTTCCTTGCCTGAGCTCACCACTCTGAACTGTTTACACCACTCTTATGTCATAACTTTTTCAGTGTTACCAGTAAAACCTTTCAATTAAAAAAAAAAAAAAAATGATGAGGATCATTTTGAAAAAAAATATATAACTTTGCGAAAATACTAATTTTGACCTATTATTGGCTATCAGTTCAACATGTCATTGATATCTTGAACCAATATTTAGGAAGTTATCAACCATCAACATTCTACTTCTTTAGGACAGAGAGCTCTTGTTTCTTGTTTGCCTGTTTTTCTTTAGTGCTGTCTCATGCTTGATCTTGTGGCTTCAGACGTAGGTGTTGGCTTGTTCCGAGATTTCTGACGTCATTGTTTTAGAGTTCTACTAGGTTTCTAACGGGATCTGCTGTTCTCCCTTGCAGGGAGGATCGTCTCCGACGATGGTAGGTCATCTGTAGCACAACTGCAAGGCAAGCACGCCTCGTTGGAAAGCATCTGACAGTAGTAAGTGACCGTCCAATCTTTGCTTTGGTTACAGGTTCTCCTCGGGATAATGATGCATTTTATTTCTCGTACGTGTAACTTTGGGTTCATGAGAGCCCAAAGCGGGTTGAAGATGGTCTAGACACCCAACTTTGTTTTGCTGATACAAATCACTGGTCAGCAGACCTATCATTGGAGGAGAAGCTCTGGGATGTCATCCATACTACCCCTGCATTCTGGTATTACATGTTGTCCCACAGAAGTCACGTTGGCATACAGTCATTGTTTCGTTAATATTGTCACGAGCGACAAATGATGTGGCGGCGAATAACTGAAGAAACTAAACGTTTAATGGGGCGAACTTGTACCCACAACTGAATAGAGAAAGTTAGCGTCGCAGGCGTCGATGCCGCCGAAACAGCAGGATTGAGCGTTGGGGCAAGGCTGACTCCAGCTCGCCACCCAGAGCCCCTTATGTGCACACGTGGGCTTCTGGAACAATCGGCATAGAAAATTCGGCATGTAGAACATTCTGACCTCAAAACATGCAATAGAGTTCTCAAATTTATGGGAACTCTATTTTTCTAATTGTCACGTGACAATTAGAAAAATAACAAAAGGTGCCTCCGCTACTAGGCATCGAACCTCGGCTCTTCGCGAGGTGTTAAACACGATAACCCTTTGGCCACGGGCGTGCTGCCTACTTGGCCAGCTGCGCACGCGACATAATGAACCTTATAACGTGGGCACCTTACTCTGGAGACAGACATATGAAGGACCGTTCTCTCCCCATACAACTTTGCCTTGGTAATAAAGATACCCACAGTCCGGACTGTGGACAGCTAGTTTGGGAACGAACTAGGCAAACACACTTTTGTCTCATTATTATGGACACCAGCTTCTGAAGAGGGCTCACAACCCCCCTTTCCCTCCTTCCAACACATACACAAATAAATAAAGATGAGTCAACTTCCTGTTAAACAAAGTCCACCCAGAGCTTTACTCTGGTCTGCAAGTTCACATTCTTGAGTAAGAGATAAAACCTGGGCACCGAGGAATCGTTATATATTTTCGGGGGGCTTTTCCGGCCAAATGGGTCATCTGCCTTTGTCTCCCTACGTGTATGGTGGTCACGGAGGACGAACATGAAGAACATTAAAAAGTCGTGTGTAGCCCTTGCGCATTAAAGTGAAGGCAGAACACGTGCCTCACCCCATAGGAGACAAGACCATGCCAGGTGTGAGGTAGAAGCAGCCAGGGACCATGGCAAGTGTAAAAACATAAGCCATTTTCTCTTCTGGAGAATGAAGGACATGGAGACATGTCCTCGAGGTAGCAGATATTTACGTTTTTTGAATAAGAAAGGGGGCAGTAAAGCATCTGTGCATTTACAAAAGGCTGAACATTTTTTTCCAAAATAAACAGTGTATATGTAGCAATGTTTGTGGCTTACGATTTGTGACTTTGACCTGGATCATGCACCAGGGAAACCATTTCTTTATTATTTAGGGTAACTAAGTGAAATTTTCAGTTTATAGTTCAACATCTGTTCTGTATAGAGCTGGTGTTAGATTTAATATAGCTTGTTTTTTTTATGTTCTGGATGCAATGCACATGCAGAAAAATATGTGTTCTTGCAGACACATGGGACATTGCAGCCCATTTAAAAGAGCCTGGTAAAATAAACTTAATTTGCTCCTCTTAAACTTTTTGAGTTCAATGAACAATTGTAACAATCTGTGGGAGACTTAGTTCATTTGAAAATAATTAAAAATCGCAAAAACAATATTGGTGAGGGGCTAACAAAAGTTTCTTAAATTTTTCATTAATATAAAACATAAATAGAATCTAACCAAACCTAGATAGTTTCATTCTACATATTCTAAAGAATATAAATGCCAAATTTGGTTGTGAGAGGACAATATTTAAAACAAACATTGTGCGAAGACTGCGTAGATGCCCTAAAATTACATAAAAAGAAAAATGTGTTAGAATGTTAACATAGATGTGTAGTGATACTCTTTCGCGGTGGGGAAAATATAATATTTTTTATTTTTTGTGAGAAATTTAAGCTACAGAAGATTGCGATGGAGAGGAGACGGCTATGCCTTCCTGTAAACGTAAGTGCACTGGCGGCCCCTGCCACACTTTAAAGAACCGCCCACAGAAAAGTGGCTTAAATCATTTGTAGTTCTAGGTTGCCAAGAGGTCATCCCACGCGTATTTGACTAATTTCGTGATCATAACTGCCACTTATTATTTTTATGCATAAAATATGAAGATTCAAAGATAACCAAATGGCTGAGGCTACATTTGTGCACAGGGAAATAGCCAAGTCGGGAGGAGATAAGGCTCCATCCTCGCAAAAAGTCATGTGACTTATAAGGACATAATTTGTTTTTATGTACATATTATGCTTTCGTATAAGTAAATATGGGATATAAAAAATAAAGAGGTTATACTTTATTGTTTTAAAGTTAATATGTCACGTGACCTGACACATTTTTAGGCAATTTATAAATTTTTCAATGTTTTCTAACACTGATAGCAAATATCATGCATCTTAAAAATAGTATTAATAGGTATCTTTATAGTTTTGTTGTCCAGGAGTCGCACGCACATGTGACTCCTGGTCGTGGTGTGGGCGTGCGGTCGTGCAGCCATGTAGTGCGGGCTTAGTTGGCTTGTTGCGAGTGCGGTTTCCGGGGCCCTTGCCCATGTGTGCATTGTTGCCGACGCCAGACCCTGAGGCTTCGTCGTGTGTACGGTTGGCTTGGTTCGAGGCGTTTTAGCATTAGCTTATGTGCATCGGAGGGGACAAGCGCGGGCTCACCGCTCTGTATGCTCTTGACTTGCGCGTACGCTCGCGCAGTCTGGATTTCTGCAGACTACCCACTCGCGCTTGTAGCTTTGCCTTTGCTCACAGATAAGCTGAAACAGGTGAAACGAAGTATGGCTACTGTTCAAGAGTTTGTGCAGCTGAGGTGCGCCCTTCGAAGGAGCTCGTCCTCTAACCTTCGCTCTTCATTGTCGCACAACGCAATACTGGTGATATTCAGAATGGTTGATCGGTGACTGAAATGGAGTGTATGATTGGACACATGCGACGCTTCATCAAGGGAAAAAGTGTCAAAGGAGTTAGATGCCGCAAGTGCGGGGAGCAGGCGCGCAAGATCCATGTGGGATCGAGGTTTCGATGTGCAGCAGCACAATTTGATGTACTGGCGAAAGGAAGTGGAAGGTCGAGCTTTCTTTGACTGCGAGAGGGGAGGTTCAGAAACCTGGCATGGAAATCAATGGAACGATTCTGATGATCGGTGTTATCAGCAAGCCAGTACCAGAATTCTGGTGTGTCAGATCAAAGTGATATTATGCATCCAACGAATTTTGAGTACGAGGCACCCTAACTAAACACTCAGTGACCCGTAGTGGTTGACCGGCAATTTGTACTAGCTTCTGGAAGCTGACGGCTGGATGGTCATGGGAGAAGAGCTGTGGACGCTTGAATACGTGTTTGGATGGAATGTCTATGAAACCATTGAGAGTACCATTTGGGCCTTCAGTAATATCCGACTACAGCCTGATGATTGCAGTGACTAGTGATGATTGCAGTGACTCCCAGTCTTGAAAACCTCTATTAGCGACGTGCCCGACCAAAAGCGTCGCTGCGGCCAGCTTTCCACAATTGGCCAAACCACGGACATAAGAGCATTGTCATACTGTCAACCTCGACGGTGTTAGTTTCAGAATGAGATGGCTCCTAGCTTCCAATGTGCTTTTTAAACACACCATCGAACTTGTCGTCGCAGCTGATGGTAAGTAGCAAAGGTAACATCTTGTGACGTCACGGCAAGGCAAATCTTAGTCGTGACGTCACGGATGAAAACCAAATGGGGGCGCCACCGAAACATCTCGGCGCTAATAGGTTTTCAAGGCTGGAAGCCATCGGCGCTGGAAACTTTGGGGAAAACAACATGCAGCTTGGAATCCGAGTTAAGTTTCAAGAAAGCGGATACTGTGAACAATTTATAACTGTCCCGACAACCAAATTTTTGTGAAATTCGGGATTTTATCAAGTTACCTCATGGACATACAATGCACATATTGAAATATGAAGCTGGCACTTTGCAATCTATAACGCCCATAAAAAGTAAGTTCTCTACAGTTACGGTGTATGGACAGTTAAGGAACTTTCGAAAGTCGCCCGCTTGTGCTTTTGCCACCACTACACAGAACTTGTAAAATACAGCTTGTCCCCTGGGAGGAGGGCTTTTGCCTTTGCCACCACTACTTGCAACTTGTAAAATACAACTTAAGGCCACGGTCCCACTGAATGTGGCAGTTTGGGTACTTTTTGGCAGGTCATTACTCATCTCCTTCTAAATACTGTTTTGTGGGATTGATGTCATTCGAAAGGCAATGCAATCCTCTTTCGTTTGATATCATGTGTGTGTTGGGTTTTACTGTTCATGCGCATTTGTAGCGTTGCGAGTATGATGGCGCGAACCCTCACTTGCTCCCCTAGTTCATGTTTTATGAACGATCCATTTAAAATAACACGGTTCCAATATAGCAGTTTTGTTAAGATGATGTCGGAGCAGAATGCAACGATACACTTTTTTGGTATTTGCAATACTTTGTTTTTTTCATCCCTCCAAATATTGCCCTAAAATTGACATTTTTTAGCACAAATATGTTTTTAATGACAAGCGCTAGGACAATGAAATTAGCTACAGATGTAGTGCTTATAATTGGTAATATGCAGAAAAAAATTTAATGTTGTGTGAAATTTGTTTGTTTAGATATTTTATATCGAACGTAGCACTTTTTTGTGCTTCGAGTCATGGTACTTCAAATGCCACTGAGGAAATAATTAAACTATGATAAAATCTTTTATAACATTTAGAGCTACAATGGTTGCCCAAGAGGTGGACGATGGCTTTTTTTCATTTTCAAAATCATAACGCTCCTGGAGCCCTTCAAACTTACCTGTTTTTGACGTATATCTTTTTTGACTTCAA